ATCAAATCTAGTGCTCGTAATTTTAATTGGTTATTGCGAACGAATCTTTAAGTGAATAATACTAATGTAGGTAGAATTTAGGCGGAATCTACAATCTAACTGATAAAATCTAAATCCTTCACGATGCGATCGTGAACCGCTAACATAATATGACACAGGAAGCCAAATCAATTTGCTGAACATTTTTAATCGAAGCGAAAACCAGCGCACGATTGCTATTTTTTCCTGATTTGCCCTCAGCACTCGAAACATTTCTGCGTGATGAACACTCGTCGAAAAAACGGATTAGGCGATTCCTTAATCACTTCTGATTTCTCCGCCATGCAAAAAATCTGGCCACTGCGTGAACTGCTTCATTCAAATTCGATTTATGATGTAAACGAGCTCGAATCCATAAAGGAAGTCCCTTAAAAAAAAACCAATTCTTAACCTAAAACGTTTTGTTTTACCTATTTACCTATTTTATTTACCTAAAATTTACCTAAATTTTATCTACCTAAAATTACTAAATCAATGTTTCGCCCAAAAGAAGCATTGACAAGAATTTAGCATCAAGCTCTGACTTATAACTACACTGTGTGCTTGAAAAACGATACTAAAAAACAAAAAAAAAAGACACAAAAAACCCAGGCTGGAACGCACCAGGCTTGCCAGTGCGATTGTGTGTTTTTGCACCAAACTTGAAGTAATCAGGTCGTTAACTACATGAATGGTTGCTGCTTTATACTTACTTTGTGCGCTCACAACCGTAAATCATCGTCAATTCTGCATAAATAAATATAAACACTTTCCCTGTAGCGGTCGTTACTAGAGCGATCGTCCGTCAAAAAATCCAAATATTTTAATGAACTGGATGTTGGGAGAGGATGAAGACGGCATAAATCCATTAACATTAAAACAAAATGATCACACGGAGTAGGAGCATATACCCAAAATTTCAGCCTCCCAGCTTCTCTGGCTGCTGAGATGAAAGTAAGTGACAAAATTCACTCGTTTCCGAACACACGCACACACACACACACACACACACACGCACACATACACACGCATACACACACATACATACACACGCACACAACACACACTCACAGACGACTTCTCGACAATATACGTTTTTGCTCGCTGTTGCAGCACTATAACAGTGCACAGTAAAAACGCATAAAAATTTCTGTCTATCCTTATAAGAGATAAGCGAACTCATAGATTTAGATGGGCATTGGTACTAAAAACCAAGCGATACGTAGGAGGACAAGCATATCGCGTTAACGGAAAAAAAAATCTGGCTTGCCTTCGTAATGCGGGGATTTGCGTATCTCGAATCAAGCATTATAATTGAGGCGTAATCATCGCGATGTCGAATCACTCGGCCAATGGATTGATTGATAGCATGCATACATTTCGACTCATAATAGGCTACGCCACTGCCTGTACCATATTCTTCGTCGAGATACTAAATTTTCGTTTTGTTACTAGAAAATTTTCCATTTTTGTACCAAGGTGCGCCGAAATAAAAAATAATTGGCCAACGCACGGGCTGCCCGTGCGAAGATGCGTTTTTTGCATAGCTCCCCGCAGATTTTGATCGCTAACGGCACTGGTTTTTCCGGCAGTTGCTTCTAGCTAAAAAAAATTTCAGACTGGCCGCCAGAACTGTCAGGAAACATCCCCTCGAAATTCCAGTCTTCTAGCCTGTCACGTTCTCGAGTCAGCAACTTACCCGGAAGAAACTTTCACGGGCCCGTACGTAAGTACTACAAGTTCAAACCTCACCGCGGGCAAGGTATGAACTCGTTAACACCCACTCGGACAGGGAACATCCTAAGATTTCAGCGTCCTAGCTTCTCAGATCTCCGAGTTATGAACTTACCTCAAAAAAAACTTTGGCGGACCCATATGTAGATACCACGGTGGTGACGACGCCCACTTTGGGAACTGAGGCCGGCACGTGCATGTAGAATAAGTTCCCGAAATTTCAGCACTGCGGCTTTTACAGGTCTTGAGATGAAAGTGCGTGACAGACGCACACACAGACACACGGACAACCCCTCGTCGATATGCTTTTTGCGTTGCATAGCTGCAAAAAAAGGCATAAAAAATTGGGAGAACTCGATGCGAAGTTGCTTAGAAGCAAGCTGATTGGTGGTTCTGAACTTTTTCAACATGCTCCAGTACCAATTTACCATCGGAAAGATTGAATGAATCAAAAAAGAGGTTGTCTCACTGATGGATTCAATCCTTCTTCAATCAGCAATATGTAGGCAAGCGCACCTTGCTAGATCCCACGCCCCGAAACAGGAAAGCGGCGCATTGCACTAAAAAGCAATAAATAGCAGCGCGCATCAGAACAGCCAGTGCGATTATGCGTTTTGTGCAATTCCGTCTACCGAACGATTGCCTGCTAATGATTTTCAGAGCTTTGAATTTAAACTTTCTGGGTCGTACGTGGGTGGGAGACATGTCCACAAAATTTCAACTTTCTAGCTTCCGCGGTTCCCGAGATAATAATTTTCCCCTCCAAAAGTTTTACAGGGCCGTACGTGTTACGCGCGGGTGCAGGGAGGCTGAATTTACATTTGCGGGGTCACACCTGGACGGGGAACATTCCTCTAAATTTTCAGCTTCATAGCTTTTGCGGTCCCCAAGTTGAAAGTGCGGCACAAGTTGATGCGGACACACACGCACGCGCACACACACACGCACACACACACACACAGACAACCCTGCGGGCACACACACACACAATATGCGTTTTGTACTGCTGTTACACACCACGACACACGTAAAAACTGATGGCTTCGTGTTGCCCAGAAAGTATTATGACAAATAAAGGTAAAATTTAATCAGGACAAATTATAAGTAGAAAAAGAACTTGAGATACCGTTAATTTTTCTTTCATAGCAATGTCCTCTTTGTTAACGAACGGCAAACCCACAATAATCACAGCTCGGCCCAATTCATCCGAAAAATTAATACCTAAAACAGAATGTAGCATTGTGGGATCATGTTTTCTCACCTTCCTTTTCTTTCTTTTCTCCCTTTTTTTTCATTCCTTCCTATTATAACTTTCTATTTCAACAAGATGAATTCCGAAACTGCCAAATTCAAGGCAGGCTCGTTAAGGTCAGCCACCGAACGCAACAAATACAAATTTCTTCGAAAGTAGTGATACACCCAAAATTAGGTTAGCACTGAAACGTCCCGGCGACAGTTTTTTTCCCCACTCCGATTAGGCCGAAGATTTTTGAAGTCAACTTCAGGACAAAAAAGATGGGAAAGACCCAAAAAATCCCGCTGGCATATTTATATTCTCGACTTTCAACACGAGAACGACACTGTCCGTCGACGAAGCCCAGGAATTTGTACTTTGAAGATCATGGATGGAGACAGTGGCATATTCATTATGTTTCCGACAGCAAATGGCGATTTTTAAGCTTGTTTTAGCTTCTTGTTTGAATATATTGTGGTTTTGAAGCTTCTTGTTTTTGTATTTGAAAATATGTTGTGGTTTTTCATGTTTAATATTGGATATGCACTGAAATTGTTGAGGGCGATAAGGTCGATCCGAGCCCCTATCGCTCGGTTCTTCTCGTTTTTTACGAAATCGAAGGAGGAAACCGGCCGTCCGTTCATTATGCTGAGCCCGTTCTTCACCCCCAGGAGATAGCCGTTCGGCACGCCAAAGTTTATTTCCAACAACAGCCCTACGGGTAGCTGGTATTGCTCGACTGGTAGTTTGGGTCCTGTGCTACGAAAGCATCGGTGGCTTGGTTTGTGCCACGAGAACAGCGGTAGTAGTCCGTCTTGTATTCGGGACAGATCCAGCGCAACTCTGTCGATCTGAATCAGCCAGAGAAGAGAGTTTTCCCGACACTATCTGCTACTGCACAATGTCTGTGTCACAGTATATTCCCGAAGTTTTTTTTCCCAATTACTTCTTTGAAATTTTTTGAAATTTTGAAATTTTTTTGAAAAATTTTTGAAAATTTTTTGAATTTTTGGAAAAGTTTTTGAAAAATTGAAGAAAAAATGAAAAAAAAATTTTGGAGTTGAAATTTTTTTTGAAACACACTATATTTTCAAACACGCCCTGTATATTATTCCCAAACAATAGCATATTCCCCCCAAACTATGCATTTCGACTATAAACCATATTATCGGAGAAAAAAACGGCACCTTCACTAAGTTTACCGCCAATCACAGCAAATAA